TGCCCTGCTCTGGCCAGTACTACATCCGCGACTTGAATGATTCCGGCTTCGCCTTCCAGCCGAAGGGCGACAACGCCGTTGGCGAACTCGCGTCAGACCGATCTCCCGAGGATACCCGACCGGTCTCGTTGAAGAACACCGACATAAAGGCCATCGCTGGGGCAGCCAGCTACCTCGTCAAGGGCGCCGTGGCAGAGCGCACCCACATAGCACAACAGGGCTTCGCGCAGAAGCGCAACTTCACCAATCACATTGTTCGCTTCGATCCTGAGATGCGGCGCGCGGGTCTACTCCCTGGGGCTCTTCAATCCAAGCCCCTCTTCGCGAGCTTCGACTTCTCTGCCGCCTTCCCATCCCTGGGGCGGGTTCGGCTCTTCGCCGCGCTGGAGCACTTCGGGGTCCCGACTGGCCTCATGAACCTCTTCCGCGCGCTGCGCTTTGCGCCGAACAGCTACGTCAAAATCGACGGCATCAGGCACACCGTGTTCGCCATAGAGTCTGGAGTTGCGCAGGGCTGTCCTGCTTCGGAACCGGCCCGGGCCATCGCCATGGACCCGCTCATCCTCCACCTCGCTACGTTTGTGGAGCACCGCGACGGCGCGCCGAATCTGGGCGCTGGCTACCTCGGCGCCTGCGCGGACGACATCGGGCTGCTGACATACTCCTTCGACACGCTGCGCCGCGCATTTGAGCCCACTGCCGCAGCCGAGGAGCTTGCGCTCCTCTCGCTCAAGCCTCGCAAATGTTTCATCGTTCCGCTCTGGGCCGCGGCGACCCCAGACACCATTGCCCAAACCAGAACCCTTTTGGCCGAGCTCGGACCTTCCTGGGGTGGTTTCTCGGTTGCGGTCTGCGCCACTTACCTCGGCACGTTCCTCGGCCCCGAGGCCTCGCCGGCTTCGCAGTGGCTCGCACCGCGGCAAGAATGGTGACAACGGGGAAATCTTCCGCACCTAGTGCAGGGTGGCAGTGACGCCACAGCCCGTCTTTATAATGCCTTAGTCCTGTCCACGCTCAGCTACGTCGCCCAGTTCTTTCCGCTTCAGCCGTTGGTCGCCCGCCGTAAACGGTAGGCTTTCCATGAGATGCTTAGCCTGCAGCCGAACTCACTTCGCAACGTTGATTTCATAGCCATGGCGTGGTGGAGCCCGCCGCCTGTCTTACACTCCGCTCAGGTCACATCTGTCGCTGCCGCTGCCCGCTCTGCTGCCGTCACTCTCGCCCAGGACTGGGGGTCGTTTGCCGATCGCCTCGCCGACGCATCATGGGAGGAAACCTCCCTTCAGAACGCGCCAAGCTGGCAGGCTGGCGTGCGGTCGCCCGCTTTCTGGTCGTCTCAGCAGTCCATCGTGCAGTACTATCGCTCCCTCCTCGGAGCCCAGCCTGAGAAGCCGTTTGCCCGCCCAGCCGCCCAGCCGTCTCTGCCGCTTTGAAGGCCGCTCGCCTCGAACAGCGCGAGGCCGCAGCTGCAGTCCCGCCGCGTCGCCCGAAATGCCAGCGCACGTTTGCACGCAAGCTTGCAGAGCAAGCTTTCGCCTCGCCGTTTACCGCCACTCTGCTCAAACGCATCTGGGCCTGGGGCCTCCTGGGAGCTACAAAAGCGCTGGTCAGCGCTCACGGAATCGCTCAAAACGGTGCGCCCCGGCTGGCGCTGGGCCACACTTGCGACACTCAGCGGTGGCTGTACTACCACTGGCCGCATGCACGTGCTCGCCCCAGAACAATGCGTCTTCGGGTGCGGGAGCCAGCCAGATTGATTTCCCCACTACCTCATCTGCCCCTCGCTTTCGAGCCTCCTCTGGCCCCCTGATCCCACCCCCCTCCGTTCGACGCTCGCTGCTTGGGGCCTTGGGCCCGCAGCTGCGTACCCGCCCGAGAACCAGAATCCGCTATCGTTGCGTTCGACGGTTGAGCGCATCACGTTAGCGTTTCACATCTAGAACAACATGAAGCATCACGCTGACCCGAGCTCACGCCCTGCGGCGATGGCCGCAGCGAGCCGAGCTGCCAAAGCACTCCTCTATAGGTGAGAGAGCTAGCGACGGGCGCTGCGGACGATCGTCATTTGCCTTCGTCTCGCTTCGTGCCCGCTTGCCCTCTTCTCGTCTCTTTTAGGGTACCCTAACTCCTCCTCATCCTCCTCCTCCTCCTCCTCCCTTCTCCCTCCTCCCTCCACCCTCCTCCCTCCTCCCTCCTCCCTCCTCCCTCCTCCCTCCTCCTCCGCCTCTCTCCTCCCGCCTCCCCTCCTCCTCCTCCCTCCTCGTCCTCCTCCCCTCCTCCTCCTCCTCCTCCTCCTCCTCCTCCTCCTCCTCCTCCTCCTCCTCCTCCTCCTCCCTCCTCCCTCCCATGTGGAGCTCTCATGAGGCTCTCACGTGGTTCCACTTCTTCGGGAGCTCTCATGGGGCTTATCTGGGCTGTCCTGAGGCTGTCATGGGCTCCCGTGGGGCAGCATTGGAGGTCCCTCGGGGCCCTCTTCGGTTGCCTCAGGGTCCTCGTGGACCGTCTCGGGGCCCTCTTCGGCCGTCCTTGATCCAGGTTGGCCGTCCGGGGGGTCTCCATTGGGGCCGCTGTGGGGTCCTCCTGGACCGCCTTGGGGCCTTCTTAGTTCGTCTTGGGGTCTTGAAGAGGCCCTCTTTGGCCGCCTTGGGCTATCTTGAGGCCATGTCATGCTGTCGTGGGTCCATGAGGGGCCCTTCTTGGGCCAGCTCGAGGCTCTGTTGAGGCCGTCTTCGGCCATCCAGGGTCCTTTTTCGGGGCTCAGTTGGCCCTCTTGGGTACAGGCAGCCAGTGGGGCGATATTCTACCAAAGTGAGCGGAAAGCGAGAAACATCAAGAAACAATCGGGAAATCCAAGTTTTGGTTTCTCGAGGCTCTCCTGAAGAGTTTTCGGGGGGTCGTGGAGCCCCCTTGGGGTCTCTTGGCTGCCCTCTGGATCTTCTTGGGAGCTGCTGGATCGCTCCGCAGGCATCAGTCTCCAGCCGCCGTGGCAAGCCTTAATGACTTGCCCCAGTCGTCTTGGAAGCCATCTGGGGCACACCACAAGGAAGAGGGAACCACCTGAGGCATCCTGACCCCTTCGGAGAGCGGCAGCTGGGCGTCGTGGCGCCCAGGAGCCCTCGGGTCGGGGGGGGGTCGATGTACGCTTAAGTCGGCCCTGTCCCTCTACAGGGGAAATATTCAAAAATGATTTAAACTATAGTCAGGGGACTATTTTTTAATATTTTTGGGCAGTTCGGGGTATTTTTTGAGTATGTTTTATTTGTCGTCCAAAACCCCCTGTATGGGGGACAGGCCCGACCTAATCGAGCACACATGCAGCAGTCCTGCCAGACGGCACTGGGATGAGAACTTGCCCTCCGCCGTGCCTCCGCGTGCTGGGGGGGCACGGCGGCGGGCGGCCGGTCGCAACGTCTCTGCACAGTGCAGCACGTGCGTCCATCACGCGAGCAGTCGGAACGCTTGCGGCGAAGGTGAGTACGCTGGAACGTCCCAGTGTCATCTACAGTCAAGGCGCTGAAACAAGGAACAGTTTGGGTTCGGAAGGGGCTCGATGTTCCCAGGTTCCTCCATTGCTGTCCCTCTCGCCCTCCTCGGGCACGGAGGCGCTTTTAAGGCCAAAAAGGGGCTTCGTTCCTTATTCAGCGTTCCTTATTTCAGCGGCCCGACTGTATGTGCACTGGAACGTTCCAGTGCCATCTGGACGGTGGTGGTGGTCACGTGCATGGGAAGTGCCCTGGCGAGACAGCTGCCGAAAACAGTTTGCGTGGAGTGCATGCTCAGATGCATGAGATCTCCATCCAAGATGTAGAAGTCGATGCCGTTCAGATTGGTGCACATGTGGAGGACGCCCTGGAGGCTTCTAGAACGGGTCTGGGGAGCCTTTTGGGAGTGGCTCTCGGAGGCCTCTTGGCTTTTCAGATGCCTCGTGGGCAGGCCATATTGGCCGTCTTGGAGAGCTCCTGAGACGTCTCGGAGCCCCCCTGGACCTTCTTGTAGGCCTCTTGGAGCCCTCTTGGCTTGCTTCCGAGCTCTCTTGCCTCCGGCAATGTCACGCAACAACGCACGACCAGCCTTGGAGCCCCTCAAGAGCGCCTGGAGCTCGGGGCCCAGGGGACCTGATGACACTTCACTCAGTGCCTCCTGGCACGGGGGCAACTCAGGGCGGATCAGACGCGCTTCTGCGGGCCTCAAAGCCGCTCTTGCGAGGACCTGGGGCCACTTGGTGCCATCGTTTGGCCGCTCTGGAGCCATCCTCGAGCCGTCCTGGACGGTCTTGGGAAGTTCCTGGAGATTTCTTGATACCTTCTCAGGCCGTTTTTGGGCCGTCTTTGGCCTTGGCCGCTTGAGGCAGGCTCGAGCAGCTCGTGGAGGTATCTCTGGTGACGAAAGGGCGAGCACACACATCTCAATGGGAAAGGCTGCATGATCACACGAGTTGTGCCGTCTCGGGGCTTCTCAGTATGTGTGTTCGGGATGTCTTTAGGCATAGTGGCCAACCCGGTAAACTCTTGGGGCGGTCGCGAGCTTTGTTGGTATCGTCCCAGGGTTGGGGGGCGTCTTCTCACAGTCAGGGCGGCCGCCAACGGCACAGACGGTGGAGGTTTCGACAGGCATCTAGTTTTTGAAGTCTGGGGCGCCGGGAAGCTTCCCAAACATTTGGGCCGTGCCAGTTGAGTTACATCGTGTATACATATGTAGCCATTTTTTCGTTATCCATTCCCCCTCTTGTCGCCCCCCTCCCGTCCCCTGCGCCTTTGCCACGCATCCTTCCAGATTGACGTCATGGCCATCGGCGTGTTGACGCCCCATGGATCAGAGTTGCCGTTCTGGGTTGGGAAGGCAGGTAGCTTGGAATATCGGCGCTGATGCGTCCAGCGCCCTTGCGTGTCATTGATGGCGCCTTGGGGTCAATTGCGGAATCATCCAGCGTCCGACATTGTTGTCCCAAACGTTCGCCTTGTTTGCTGGACTGCACCCCACCTTGCTCTACTTGAGTGCGTTTCCAGCTGATCTCGCGTTCGCTTCTCCGGCGGTGTTGGGGCACACATGTGAAAGTTGTGGTTCAGTTTCCGCGTCGTTGTCCTCCGCTGTGGATACGCTAGTGCTGCTTCCACTCTGCCCTCCTGCCGGGAAAACAGCAGCGAACATTTCAGATGTTGGCCGAGTTCGCCGGCACCGCGCATGACTTGGACGCCAAGGTCCAAGAGTTCGAGGTTTGCTTTGGCCTTCTAGGGAGGTTGGAGTAGCTAGGGAATGCAGATTGGTGCGAGTACGAGTACGACGATGATGATTGCGCTTGTGGTGATGATTGTGATAGTGACGGTAATGCTGAGTAGGATGATGTGTGTGACAGTGATGCTGGTCATGGTCATGGCGATGACGATGAAGTTGGTGATGAAGATCATGATGATGACGATGTTGTTGTAAACGGTAGTGGTGACGTCGACCATGACATTCAAGGTATCGTCGCGCTGAGCATAAACAAGCACAGCGATTGCTCTCACGGCCATCACGGCAACGCAGCAGAGACATAGAGGCGCAAACGACGTCCCACGAGGAGCACACAGATGAAGGGTGAAAGTTCACAACAGCTGCGAGGAGAATGGGCAGTGCGGCATAGGCAACCTCCAAAGGGAGGCAACAGAACCGGTGCAAGGCTTGCACGGCTGGCGCCACAGCTGGCTGGCGCGTGCGATCCCGCCTACCACTGCGAAAGACATGCGCGTCAGGGTCGGCCAAGAGGGGGGTGATGATTCGGGGGGGGGATATCATGGCGGGGCCATGACAGCTCCACAGACATCATGGCGCCTCTACTTACCTCAAGACGTCCCTGGCCCCCCCGCGGGTCGCGCACATGCCGCCAGCCATGATCTGCGCCCCCCCCTCTTGGACGCCCCCCTCGTGGACGCCCCCGGGCAACACAGCCGAGAAGCCGGCGTCGCCCCAACATATGAATGCAATGTGTACGTCGCCCCCCTAGGGGCGACGCGCGCGCCGAGCAATCTTACGATGGGGGCGTTCGTTAAGGAATGTGTCGCGGAGGCTTCAGACCCTGGAGGGTTCCTTATCTGATGAGGGTGGCGGTGATATCCCTGGCCAAGCCTCAAATGGAGGTCCACCAGCCTCCATGCCCTGGATTCCTTATCTAAGGGTACCTTGTCCAATGCCCCCACCGTATACTAGATGCTGCGTGGCGGGCGCTTTCTGGCCGTACCGCTCGGGAAACGATGCACTGCAAGATGGGTGTACGTCATGTTCGGGTCGGGCGCACGCCTCCGCGGAGGACCCTTTCTGCCAAGTATGTCCTTGTACGCCCCGAGAAGCACAGCTGGTCCCTCCATGCCTCGCGATGCCTCGTGCCGCGCCAGTGCTCTGCCAGGACGCGGGTCGGCACGCCGGGAGGTGTCTTCGCCCAGGGCTTGGCATGGCGAGTGTGGGGCGTGTCGATGTTGTACGGTTCAGTAGGGCGTGCCCCTCTACAGAAGGAATATGCGAGAATAATTAAAAAAAAGTCCGGGGGCGATGGTTTGAATATGTGTTGGCAACGCTTCATTGTTTTCTTCCAAAATCCGCCTGCAGGGGGACATGCCCGACCTAAGTGTACGGTCGGACGGAGGCATCGGGGTCTGCCAGAAGGTGCGCCTGGCCCAGGGTGCTCCCAGCTTGTCGCTCCATTTCGGAGCCCCATTCGTGAATTGTCCGTTATTTTCCAGGCTTCATTTTCCAGGCTTGCGCCCGCCAGGTTTGAGCCCGAGGTCGTTTTCACTAAACCACGTGATGCTAAAAGGGGTTCTGTCCATCCCCGAGTATACCCTCTTAATTCTGTCCTCGGCGTCGATTCGCGTCGATTAGCGTCTGGGAGTCGATAGGATAGCGCCGATTTTGCGTCGGTCGGCGTCGACTAGTGTCGATTCGGCGTCGATAAGCGTCGACTAGCGTTGATGAGCGTCGAATCGCAAGAGCTCCTGGGGCCCGCTGGGCCTCGCGAGGGGTGCTCTGGAGGCCGCGAGGGCCTCGTCGGGAGTCCCCGGGGGCGCCTCGGGCCGGGGGCACTTTTTAGCAACCCCCGAAGGGGTAGGATCGAGGTTGGCTCGGGGAGGGTACCCGACTGCTCTTCGTGCTCGTTGGACGTGCCTGTTACGGGACGTGAAAGCGAGCACAGCCACTGCGTTTCTTTTGCTGCCGCCTTCCAGCCAGCAGAAGCAAAGCAGTGGTTGTGGTCATTTTCGTTAAGCTTGGCACCAGAGAAATGACCACAACCACTGCTTCTTTTTCGGCCGGCTGGCAGGCGGCGCAATCAAGAAGCAGTGGCTGTGGTCATTTTCCCGTCCCGCACCTGTGCATCTCCGGGGGAGGGTGCCCTCGAGTGATCTTTATGGTTCGGGACGTTCCTGCCCGCGGAGGGGCTCGTGCTCTCGGGGGCTGCTCCTCTGTCCCGTGTCCGGCCGCGTGCGCGGCGACACGTCGGCGGTTCCTTGGTGTGACCGTGCATCCGGCGCCTGAGGCCGACGGACGAGCGAGCGGGCGTCCGCCCGGCAGAACTGGGCAGGCCACACACAGTTCAGTGCTCTCTCGTCGACGTGGTTTCATTCTTCGGGCCGGTTGGCGCATCCTTCCAGATCGGGAGGCGAGGAAGCAGGTCGACGCTGTCAGGGAACACGCGCACGCTGACACACACACACACACCTCGAGCTTGTCCATGATGGCCTCCAGGTCCTTCGCCGCGATATCCCGCCCGTCGGTGAGGACTGTTATGTGTGCCCGATGATCTCAGGCGTCATCGTCACCCTCGCCATCATCATCACCACAATCGTCAACATGACACTTCTCGTCCTTATCATTTCGGGTCATCATCGTCGATCTTATCGCCACCATTATAATCAGCATCAGCATCACCAGCAGCGGCAACATCATCATCACCACCATCAGTATCATCATCATCATCATCATCATCATCATCAGCAGCAGCAGCAGCAGCATAAGCATCAGCGTCAGCATCGGCATCAGCATCAGCACCACATCATCACCATCACCATCACCATCGCCATCGCCGTTATCTGTCACCGCCATCTTTTGCAATCTTGCCTCAAGCCGTTCTGCCTCGAGCTGTCGAGCTCCAAGACCAGGGGCGCTCCGGGGCTCAAGTCCGTTCTCGCGCCTCCCCCGCGCTGGCTACCATGCAGGCGGCGTTCGCGGCGGTGGCCGCGCTCTGCAGCATCACCGTGGCGAGGGATGCTCCCGGTGCCGTCCAGGGCATCCAGGACGCGATCACCGAGCAGAGGCCGGGCAGCATGCCCGAGGGCGTCCAGGAGTGCATGGTGGGTTCGAACAGCTCTGCAACAGCAAGGAAGGACTCGTCACGACGAAGCCAGCCGTGAGGCAATGGCCTGGCTGTTTGTTGCAGGTGGGTGAACTGCTAGAACATGTCGGCATAGCTTCCTCATGGTTTGGGTGCTGCTGCAGTTGGCGAGTTGAAGAACTGGTTAGCCTTGGTAGCGGCATTGGGCCACGTTGTGGCCGTCTTGGCCCTGAGAGTTTCGAGTAGTGGTGCTGCGGCTGGCCGTGGCACCCGTCTAAGAAGCTCCCGAGCCGTCAGTTGTGACAGACTCGGTGTGCGGACGATCTGCTTAGCAGAAATCCGCCGCGGTGAGCGAGAAGGAGCCGAAAGTCTGGCGACCAGGGGGCGCACAATGATCGTGGCTCGTCATGCGAAGCGGTCGGGGCGTGGACGCGCGCGGCCACTGTACCCAGAGGCAAAGGCAACCCGGTGGCAGCGCATCCTCCTCCTCCTCCTCCTCCTCCTCCTCCTCCTCCTCCTCCTCCTCCCTCTTCGTGACGCGATCCTTCGGCCTCACGGCCGACGATCGCCCTCGTGCGCAGGATCGGACTCGGAGTTCGAGTCTGATCCCGAGGGCTTCGAGTGAGCCCGTGTTTGACCGCCTTGAGGGCCAACCCAAGCCAAGCCAAGCCTCCTCTGCGTGAGCCTCCTCTGCGCCGCACCGACGTTGATCAAGGCGAGCGCCGCGTCCGATCTCCTCCTTTCATGGAGGAGGAGGAGGAGGAAGAGGAAGAGGAAGAGGACGAGTTGGAGGAGGAGGAGGAGGAGGAGGAGGAGGCGGAGGAGGAGGAGCAGGCAGAGGAGGAGGAGGAGTCACAGGAGGAGGAGGAGGAGGAGGAGGAGGAGGAGGAGGAGCAGGCAGAGGAGGAGGAGGAGGAGGAGGAGGAGGAGGAGGAGCGCTGCCTCTGCTCCGGGCCCTGCCGCTCACCTCCTGCTGCCCCCGGGGAGAGCCCCCCGGGGGCGGGGCCCGCGCGGCGCCCGGCGGCGGTGGTGAGCCTCTCCCCGCTGCCGCTCGCCCTCCCCGCGCTCCCCTGCTCGGGCTTTTTGCGCTGGACAGCTACTCCAGATTTCGTAATAAAGGGAGGGGGGTCTCATTTCGGGGGGGGGTCTCTTCCAGGCTATCTTGGAGGGCCTGGGGGGTCTGGGGACGATGTTCTGGAGGGTTCTCCCACGGGGGAGGTCTGAGATGGCTTGTCTTGGAGGGTCCAGACCCCCTCCCTTTTATTACGAAATCTGGAGTACACAATGTTCAGGTCTACTTCTTCGGAAGTTCTTTGTTTTTTTTTTTGGGGGGGGGGGGGCAAGATCCCCTTATTTCTAACTGTTCTATCCTGGGCCTCTTCCTGGCCACTAGGGGGCCAGGAACAATCAGAAACGCGCACACTTAGGAATGAGCACGATTAGAACGGAACGACGTGTAAAGCTGACATGCTGGAGCACACCACGGGATGAAACGATGCCGACTAAGGCAGGCCGAACAGCACATTGCCCGTCGGTCGTTGGAAACAGGTGTTTCTGGAGTCCCAGATTCCAATTTGCTTTAGACGCCTTCCTACTTCACGGTTCGAGTGGCTTCCCTTCTTCCCTCCATCTCAGGGGGAGAACGGAGACCCAATCTATTTCCGACGCTTTCCTACTTCATGTGTCTACCTACTTCATCCGACCGATGACTAAGCTGACATGCTTGAGCATGCCACGGGATACAATAATGCCGACTAAGGCAGGCTGAACAGCACATTAAGGGGCTGCGGCTCCTGCTCCGGCTCGCCCCTCCCTCCCCCCCCCCCTTCGATCGGGGTTTCTAGAGAAGTGCCCTTGGCCAAAGGTGCCTCCAGCCTACAGAGCACGCCTCATAAGCCCAGGCGGCCCCAGGGGCTCCAAAGTGGAGTGAACAGCGGGGGGCAGCCTGGGCCAGGGGCACCTTCTGGCAACCCCCGATTCGACAACGCCACGCCAGCCTTTCCCTCCTGCGCTCAAAGAGATGCCTGCGCGACCTCAGGCTGATGCTGCCTCGGGAGGGCTGCTGGGCAGGTGGTCGGCGTCGCCGTCCGTGATGTGCTACAGCGCTGCGTAATGCAGCATCGGCCATCACCGCTTTCGATTGGGGCTGCGGATCTGCTTCGCGATCTCTTCTCCGCTCGGCCCGTGACGTGAACGGTCAACCTCAGCGCGGCCGACAGCGACCTGTCTGCGCCAGGTTGGCTGCGCAGACGGCCACGGAGGCGCGGGTACGCTACGGCTGGGCGGCGAATGCCTGGTAGATTCTCCATGATGCTGTTGATCGTGAAGATGAGGATGAGGACGAGGACGAGGACGAGGATGGGGATGATGATGTTGCTGATGATGATGATGCTGATCGTGATCACAATCATGAACATGAAGATGATGTTGGTGCTGATGCTAATGGCGTTTCCTGCTACCCCTAATAGTGTTATCATTATTTGGTAAGTGTCTCACTAATGGTGTGGATCGTTCTATTAAACATAGAACTGCCATTCGTATCATTGAGCCGTGGTGATGGTGGTGTGATTATGACGACGACGATGATGCTGATGTTGTTGATGGTGTTGATGCTGATGCGTATTGTTATTGCTATTGATATTTTGGGAGTGATGATGTTGGTGATGACGATGATTGTGGTGATGATGACGATGATGGTGATGATGGTGCTGGTGGTGGTGGTGGTGGTGATGCTGCTGACGATGATGATGATAGTGATGATGCTGCTGATGCTCGGAAGTGAAGTGCCGTGGCAGCTTCGAGACATGCGGATGCCGCTACGGGGGAGAGCGCCTCCGCGCCTCTCCCCCCAACCAGGTGGAGGACTGGTCCTCCGCCGGCGACGTCAAGTACCACCTCGGTGCGCAGGGGGGAAGGGTGGCTTGGCCTGGCGCTCCCAGGCGCTCCCAAGCGCTCCCAGGCGCTCCCAGGCGCTCCCAGGCGCTCCCAAGCGCCCCCAGGCGCTCCCAGGCGCTTCCAGGCGCTGCCAAGCGCTCCCAGGCGCTTCCAGGCGCTGCCAAGCGCTCCCAGGCGCTCCCAGGCGCTCCCAGGCGCTCCCAGGCGCTTCCAGGCGCTCCCAGGCGGCCTGGTGGAAATCCGCACCGCGGGGCTGGTCCAACCCGGATCTGATGCCGAGCACAGGGATGGATGAGGAGTGCCCCTGTTCGACTAGACGCGATAGTGACCTTTCGCCTGAGTGACCTGTGGTGCGGGCCCAAAGGAGTCCCCCGATCGTTGAGCACGAAGCGGAAGCAGCGGCTGTGCGGCCAGGTCTGGCGTGTAGCCGAACTAGTTACCAATCCACCCCAAGCCCAACCTGAAGTTCCCAGACCCGTATTTGTTCGGGTTGGGGGTGTACGGGTTCCACTGCGTTTTCTCGATATCCCAGAACGTCCCCCTACTGGAAATTGGCAGGCCCCTGCTGTTACTTCGGGTCAGGGTTGGGGTGGCTTGGTGGGTCATCAGAGGGAGGGGCGGACGGAGGGAGCGCGGAAGGTGTGCGGACATGTTCCCTAGTTCTCGGCGGTCTTCCAGCCTCTGGGTGCCTTCCAGCAGGAGAGAGGACGTTCCCGGGGTGCCCGTACCGTTCCGAACGGCCGCTGGAGAGCCAAGGTGTGGCCCCAAAGCCAGGAGGCTGATTTTCGGGGGGATGTGTTGAGAGGGGGACGCATCGACCCCCGACCGCCCACTCGCGCCAGGGGCCTGATGGGCCACCCCGCCCAGAAACGTGCGGATTCGCTACCAGGGGCCTATCGCCGATCTAGCGGCGATGTACCGCCGATTCAAGCTCGATGTTTGCTCCCCCGGAGCCTGTCCCCCCTGAACGTTTCCCCCTCAACGAATAGGTAAGGGGAGTAGGGGGGACCTGTGGCATGCCCTTCATTCTCTTTCTCTTCGAGGAAACCTCCAGTCTGAGGGTCTTGGGGCCATCTGGGGACGTCCGCAGGCTTGCAGGGGGACCTGCGAGCTTACCGAGGGCAATTCCCAGGAGTTTCCAGGGAGCGCAACATATGACATAATTGTGTGTGCGTGTGTGCTAATTTCAGCTGCGCTGCCTTCGCTGATGTAGGACGTAGACGTCCTGCAGTGCCTACGGTTCATGTGTGCACCGGCGGGTGTAGTGCAGCAGTGCGCGTGTGTGTTGTTGTGTGCTTGCACGTCTACGCAGTCCCTTGGGCGACACGGAATCACACAGTAGTTGGCAGCTCCTGTCTTGTGCTCCATGGCACGTTTGCCACATGCGTGTCGCACCCAAAGAAGAAGTGGGGAAGCACACGCAAATTCAGTGCATACCCCATGTGTGCAATCTTGATGTACCCTCTTCGCGCGTGCGTAACGTGTCCCATGTTGGCGTGGTAGCGCATGCAATGCATGGCGCACGGGATGAGTGAGAGCGGTGCGTGCCATGCAAGCGCGAGTGCATATCCCCAAAAAGCGACATGGGCACCTGCATTCCCCATACCTTGCGTACTGCTGCGCGTGTCGCGCATCCAATGACTTAACTCAATCCGGGCCCAGGGCCCAGGGCGAGGGAGGAGGAAGAGGAGGGGCAAGAAACGGAGGAGGAGGAGGAGAAGGAGGACTAGGATGAGGCGGAGGAGGAAGAAGAGGAAGAGGTTGAGGAGGAGAGGGATGAATGCGAGGCGGAGGGGGATGAGAAGAGAGAGGGGGTGCGGAGAGAAGGGGAGGATGAGAGAAGAAGTCAGAGGGATAACGAAGATGAGCAGAGAAGTGGCAATGTGTAAGGAGGAGCAAGAAAGACATCTGCTATACCGGCTTGAAGCCCATAGAGAGGTGGGTGATGGGGGAATGGGATTGCAAATCAATTGCGTCTGAGTATGTTCTTTGATCGCCTAGTTAACTGAGCACACCACGGTCACACCGAAGAGAACGATGAAGATAATATTGGTTGCGGGTGATAAGATTAGCGTTGCGATGATGGTGATGATGCTCATCATCATCATCATGCTGATGATGCTGATGCTGATGCTGATACTGCTGATGATGATTGTCACGGTGGAGATGATGATGATGATGATGAAGATGATGATGAAGATGATGATGATGATGGTTATGATGATGATGATGATGATGATGCTGATGATGATGATGATGATGATGATGATGATGATGACGCTGATGATGCTGACGATGATGATGTTGATGTTGGTGCTGATGATGAGGATGATGATGAGGATGCGGATGAGGATAAGGATGAGGATGCGGGTGAGGATAAGGATGTGGACGAGGATGATGAGGATGAGTATGAGGACGATGAGGATGAGGATGAGGATGAGGATGAGGATGCGGATGGTGATGGTGATGGTGATGGTGATGGTGATGGTGATGGTGATGGTGATGACGGTGGTGCGGACTGGTGATGATGACGATGATGATGATGATGATGATGATGATGATGATGATGATGACGATTCTGATGACGACTATGATGATGATGCTGCTAATGGTGATGATGATGCTGATGATGTCCGAAGGTGCCTAGGGATGCGTTCAGGGTGTGCTTGACGATTTCATGGTGTGGATGTTTTAACGAAGTATTTCACCCCAGTCTTCACAATATTGAGATCAGCGCCCAGTCAGGCCTTTGCATGATGGAGCGCCCCGTCTGGCACACAGCTGCATGGGTTATGTGGCAAGAGAGCTTGTCTAGCAATCATTTGCACACATCAGCATAGGAGTGAGCAGAACAAATATGGCATGGCGAAGACGTCATCGGTGAGTCACCGCCGCCCCCTGCCTCTTGGAAAAGCCTGCCGTGAAATGCGGAGCGCGTGCTCCGCCAGCTGTTGGGGAGACTCGGGGGCAACGCCGGAAGAGGGCGAAGGCCTCTGGGGTCATCCAGGGGCTGTCTTGGGGTCATCGCCTGGCCTGCTGGATATTCCTGGGGGTGGCTCCCGGAGCCCGATGGGGCCATCTTGGGGCTTTCTTGGGCGGTCGCAGGGCGCTCCGGGGCCGTCTGGGGCCCTCGGAGGCCGTCTTGAAGGGCGTCGTGGGCCCTCTCTGGTGGCCCTTGAATTCCCTCCTGGGGCTCTCTTGGGCCGTCTTGTTCCTGCCCTCTTGGGACTGTTTACCCGGACTTTGGGGCCGTCTTAGGGGCGATCCTGGGGGGCCTCCTGGGCCATCTTGGGCTGTCAGAAGCTCGGAACGGCTAGGACGCGACCATCCTTGAAAGCCTGATGGGCGTACAGGAGTTTTGCCTCGAGGGGCCGTCCCGGGGATCCTCTTGGAGCCCTCCTGGGGCGTCTTGGGGCCTCTCAGACCGTTTCGAAGTCATCCTGTGACGTCTTGGGGCCTTCTTGGGTCGTCCGGGGGGGCCGTCTTGCACCGTCGTGGGGCTCTTCTGCGACTCTCTCGGGCCGTCTTGGATGCCGTCTTGGCCCGCCCTGGCCGTCTTGGAGGCGCCTCGGCGGCGATCTGGGCCGAACCTCGGGCCTACGGCGGGGCAGGCGCGGGGGCAGTTGCGGGACGTCCGCGAGGGAGAGCCGCGGGGGAAACCTGCAGCGCACGCCACCGCACGGGGGCAGGCCGCAACGCAACGCAACCGCACGCTCCTCCCCGTCCTCCTCCTCCTCCTCCTCCTCCTCCTCCTCCTCCTCCTCCTCCTCCTCCTCCTGCTCCTGCTCCTCCTGCTCCTGCTCCTGCTTCTCGCTCCCCCCTCCCTTCCTCCCTTCCTCCCTCCCTTCCCCCCTCCCGTGGCAGCCGCACGGGGCAAACCGCGCGGGGCAAGGCCGCACGCAGTCGCGGCAGTGCAGCCGCACGGGGCGAGCTCAGAGCCATCGTGGGACGACCGCGGCTTCAGAGCACGCGCCACGCCCCCAGTCTTCATCTAATATCTAATGCTTTTGGGGGTCAATGGACGGGGGGCCTCCAGGGGGTTCGCTCAGGTGGTGGGGGTTTAGGGTTGTGTTTCTTCCCCCCACGCCCCTGCGATGCATTGGCCACAGCGGCGCGACTGGTTCGCCCGCTTGGCCTGGCTTCCTGTGCAGCAGCGCGGACGGTCTAAGCATGCAGGCCCCGCTCGCGTTCGACTCGTGAGGGGCAGCTATGCTGGCACCGCCTCCAGGACTGCCTGAGGTGACTGGTCTACTCGAGCGCGAGCTTAGTTGTGCGAGCGATCGGCAGTTTATTTCTCATGGGCGCACTGGGCAGCATTTGAGCGCGGGGAGAAGTCGCGCGAGCGTCGTGGCCCCTATTGGCTATCTTCTTGCTTGTCTCTAATGCTGCGGGACGGCTATTCACGGCTGAGGCGGATCCCCACCCTGCGCGCCCGCGAGCGCGTTCTCGTCGCAGGTGAATGGGATTTGTCTCACGCGTGGTCGTCCCGCTGGCGGGATGCGTTTTTCGCGCGCGTTCGCTTGGCCGCTCCGCCGCCTCTTTCTCCCGTCGCAGGTTCCCCCCCCCCCCCCCCTCCTCCCGCGCGCGCGTCGCTTGACCGCTCCGCCGCCTCTCTCTCCCGTCGCAGGTTCCCCCCCCCCCCCCTCCTCCCGCGCGCGCGTTCGCTTGGCCGCTCCGCCGCCTCTCTCTCCCGTCGCAGGTTCCTCCCCTCGCCCCTCCTCCCGCGCGCGCGTTCGCTTGGCCGCTCCGCCGCCTCTCTCTCCCGTTGCAGGTTCCTCCCCTCCCCTCCTCCCCCACAGGTCCGCGCGTCTACTTCGCGGAGAGCACCTACGTCCCTCGTCGGTTTTGCGGCTCGAAGGTCAGGACACACATGAGCACGGGTCATCCTGGGCCGAATGCCGACCCAGTGCGCAGTATGCCTGCGGATGCCGTATGCCGGCCACTTGTCCCCTGCGCTGTACTGCAAGTGCGCGCCGTATGCTGGTCCCTTGTGCACAGTATGCCTGCG